AGCTCAATCACAAATTCTAGTCACCTGAAGTAGCCTGGAGCGTACGTAAAATGACCGAAACGTTTTGAATATGGCAATAAAGACGAGGACAACAGACCGGACAATGTAAATAATGTAACGATATAAGATCGATAGATGAAATCAACGAAGAGGACAAAAAGGAAAAGGGAAATAAAAAGGAAGAAAAAATAAGTCTTTGAAGTTAGGAAGAGAAAAATAAGCCATTTCCAATCAACTTTTTTCTTCAAAAATTTAAATGTAATATCAATCGTTATCTTCTGTCTTGTTAATTCTTTTTTTATTGTTCTTTCTTTTGTTTCATACACTATCTAGCATTCAGTAAAACTTTACGTCTTAGTGCTTTTATTGCCTTGCTTGGGGTGAAATGATAAAGAAAAAATGAAAAGTCAGTTTTTCATTGCGCCAACGTCGGTAAGAATGTGACATATGATCGATTAAAGTGGTTGGTTTAACGGCAATGCTGTTAGTAAAGTGTTCTAGCCCTTCGGCACTTCCCCCTTTTGAGGACAAATCAAGTGCCCATTAATGGTTCTCTGCTGAATGTGAGGTATTGTCTAGGGAGATGCCCCCCCACACACACACTCCGCTGGGTTTTAAACTTTCCCGGTGAAAATAGTTTTCTGATGCAGTATTCGAAGAAATTCAAATCATTTTCCTGAAGGGAATAATTACTCGACTTAATCGTGATCCAAAGATGGCGTTCACAGCTGGGTACGGAAAATAACCAAGCCAAACTATAACATTTTGTATTTTGAATAACCGCACACAAAACGAACTGAAGGGATACAAGAGGCGATTATCTCTGCTCGGTTGAGATGAATTCACATGAGACACATGATGGCTGCTTAGTAACGTCACTTCATAGAGTGATCATTCCGTTTGCAGCAGTCAAACCAAACAGTTGTTTTTTAAGCACGGACTATGCCCCGAGGCGAGCTGCCACAGGGTCTTTACACACGCCTTTACCTCCGCTTTTTGTTGGGAATATCTCCTCACCGGCCTGCAAGCATCAAGTTAGAAAAACCTATGACTCATAATTTCCTGTTTGAGAAATATGTCCTCGATAGAGACATAGAAGGTTTATTCGACCCACTTCAATGGTTTCTCTATGAACAGAGAAAAATGATCGGGTACCTCAAATTCCTTATTGGGAATTGTTACAAGTAAGACGCTAATTTTGTTAACTTTTCACATTGCTTGTTGTTGTATACATGTGTTATATTTTCTCTATGTGCGGCGAACGTAAATACATGTACATAATTGTTTGTATGACTTATATATGTATAAAATTATCTATAAGAAAAAAGCATGTTTTTCATTACTTTTTATTCTACTAGTCCGTGTATTAAGGTGTTATTATATCATAAAATAATGCCTATATTACGGGGAATTCAGATGGGAGAATTTTCATTTCTTCAGTAGCTCACGCATTATCTGATGACTTACCCGATGGGATATCATATAATTAAACCTTTATATCATTAACACTTTTTCTAGTTTTTCTCAAATGATTTTATTTTATATTCTGAGAGGGTAGCGTAATCATCAAGGGACAAACCTCAGCCGGGATACTCATATCGTGCTAAGTTGATGTAACCACACGTAAGTTAATACTTGGATCTGATTGGTTTATTTCACAGTGCAAAAAATAAACGCCGCTGTTATTTGCCCAACTTAGAGGTTTATTCTGATGGACTCCACTTGTTCAAACGTCTTTTGATTTCGACACAATTCGGTGCTTGTTAAAATACCAGTCTCTGGGAAACCCACGATATATCAATTACTCACTTTCACTCAACTAATTCTCGGCGGCCGGTTTTCATCGTTACCTGATATCGCTATTTGGGAATTGTATTTGTTACAATTCAATATTTACCTCTCCGGAATTTGCTCCAGGAGGACGAATTCTTTCTAGTCTTCTAGTATATATTTCCCTATATACAGCACTCTCTTCTCTGGACAGAAGCAAGCGTTGCTTTCAGTTAATGGTGGTTCTATTCACTAGGGATCTTTTTTATTTCACAATGTCGTAACGTATCCAATTATCATTGCTCTAAAAAAATTCTTCGGCACAAATTTCTTGATAAAAAAATGAGATATTAACATCCGGTCAATAATTTTCGACTGCTTTCTTTATGTGGAAGACAAACATCAAAGAAATTAACACAATCAAGTTGGTGCAACTAATTTTCAGCACTTTATTTCGTTATTTGCTTTGTGTTATTTATATTCAACGTCGCATAAGGTTGATAAATCTCAATGAATGTTTTGATGTGATGGCTGCCAATCTTAACTGGCCAGGCCAAACAAGGAAATACTACCAGGGAGGCGTGTTCTTCCTTTGAAACTTTTCCAACAGTGTAAAATAGAAGACAATTTAGCCATGAAGAAGAAGGAGGCGGAGGTAACTCGTTAAAAAAGCAGACGATTCAGAGAAGAAGAAGAAGAAGAAGAAGAAGAAGAAGAAGAAGAAAATTAGTTAGGAGGAGGGGGTAACAAAGGGAAAAGAAGAAATTGATGTGATGAAGAAGAAGAAGATAACATGGGGAAAATTAACAGGTGAGGCAGTTAAGAAAATGCAGTTGTAACTGGAGGAGGTAACAAGATGTAAAAGAATCAGCGGCGCTGGTGAAGAAGAAGAAGAAGAAGAAAACTAGAAGAAAATGAAGAAGAAAAAAAAGAAGATGAGGATAACATGGGAAAAAGAAACAGATAAGAAAAAAGAGTTGTAGGTGGAGGAGATAACGATGTGTAAAAGAATCAGATGAAGAAGAAGATGATGATGATGATGATGATGATGATGATGAGGATGATGATGATGTAAAAGAAGAAGAACAAGAAGAAGAAGAAGAACGAAGACAGTGGGGTGATGAAGCTGAGGAAGACGAAGGAAAGAAGAAGATGAATGTTTACGAGTGAAGAAGGAGAAAAAGAAGAGAATGGAGCAACGAAGAAAAAAGTAGGGGACAAAGACGAGCACGTAAAGAAAAGGGGCCCTGGACCAAAGGAAAAAAAATGTAAAATAATAGAGAGAAAAAAAATGAAAAGCAGCAAAAAATTCAAAGAAGAAGGAGGGATTGGAAAAGAAAGAGGTTACAAAAAAGCAGATAGAGAAGAAAAAAAAGAACAATACAAAACAATACAAAAACGAAAAAAAAAAAAGAGAGACTGTCGAGAGAAAAGGTAGTGGAGTAAAAGACACCAATAACCTCAAGAACTGCAATATGAGAATCCAACTCGTTCCGATGTCGAATATTGTCAGCTCCTTTTATATTGAAATCTGTTTCCCTTAAGGCACACCTGGCATTCTGTGGTAAACAAATTATCTCAACAGTTGCAATGAACTTTTCATTCAGTTTTGCAGCCTGCGTAAACCCGATTCTAATTATTTCTTGCTGTGCGCCTTTCTTCCTTTGTTCATTCTTTAAACACAAAAATACACGCTGATTTTCTGCAGGGTTCGAATTGTTCAGGTGCGTTATTGTTCATTATTTTTACGTAAAATCCCAGTCACGATTGAAATTTGTATAAGAAAAGTCAGATGAATATTCTTCAAAAGAAAATCGTATTTCTTTTTTTTAACTCTTCGGCATGACACAAACAATATCAAGAACTCATGTTGATTTCTAGTTTTCGAAAATGTATGGGGTTTTCTTATACTCTTAAACGTTTTCTCAAAGGGGTCTATCAAAAATGATTCTGTCATATAGTGGCTAATCATTATTTGAAAATGTGCAAGAAGAATTTATAATGTAAAATTTTGTCTCAAACTTCATATTTCCGTGGGTAGAAATAACTGGAGTGGCAGAGTGGTATCCGAAATTTCGAAATCAGTTCTACTGACCTGCTAAGAGACGAAAGACAACGGCGAGATGCGTCAGCTAATGTTCCTGTTGCTATGTCCAGAGATCCAAGCTGTTGGACAATATCTGGACTCGTATGCAGGTCACTAGCGGGAATGAAGTGTCATACACGACACAAACATAATAACTGAATGAGGTTGCTGGATACTCATACGTCGAAATCGACGTGAGAGTCCATCATGAACATGATGATTCTCATGATGATCATATATATATATATATATATATATATATATATATATATATATATATATATATATTGTTATATAGGAATAAAGTGTCGCTGCCGAACATAGATCTCCCGCGAGTAAACACAGGCGACCACATTATTGAATTAAGTGGATCACTTGACCATAGAGGAAACACATACATAGGAAGTCGTGTGACATCTAGATTGATCTCTCATTCTAGTTTATCCTCTATTACTATTCGGATTGCTATTCTATAACTCTATTCACTATATATTCGGATCACTATATGGATTCGAGCGAATATTATCGAGCAAGAACTATTAGTGCGAGTGTTATTCGAAGGCATCTGACCCCAGTCTTGTTCAACGGCTTACTGTAGTTGTATCTGCGATTACAAAGTCTCTACAACAACCTGAAAATATATTTCAATTGAGAACGTTTGAATGACATGCTAATTCTAAAAACAACAGCCACCTGTGCTAATGCAAAGCTCTTCAGTAAAATGAATCGAGCCCTGTGTCTGATTGGCATATGTTTACATTCGTAAAAACAATAGGCTAGATTTAGATAGCTCAGTGGTAGAAACTCTGACTGACACCAAATTGGTTGGGTTTCGAATCCTAGCTTGAGGCATTCGGATGTCTAGTCGCACTGAGGATAACATATCTATTTTATTTTCTAGTTAGTTCAGTGTTTAATACAGTGTGTGTTTAAACATGGACAAATATAATAGGAGCAATCTAAAACACACAACTTTGAAGTGGTCTAAAGAACACCGGCTCAAACCGCCTGCTTTCTCCTACAAAAGGCTACGCAGGTTCGAACCCTACAGAAGGGCACACTATTTTAATGTATTTTTACGGGTGTGCAGGCCGATAGATATAATGCACATTGTTTATAAAAGGACAGAACGTCCATTTGAAACACGGTTTTCCACTAAATATGGAAGCTGTAGAAATTCGGATTAAAAATAGATCTTCAAATGCTTCATATATATATATATATATATATATATATATTACTATCCCCCTCCTTATGTAAAACTCATTTACAGCCTCTCTCTCTCTCTTTACTTCCTCTTTCTTTCATTTACTTTTTCTTCTCACTCTTCTCCCCTCCCCTCCCTTTCCGTTAAGTTAACCGTTTAAATAGGTCAAGGTCTGGTCACTCCTCCTCCGCCAATACTAAGTATGATTGAGAGAAATATTAAATTAAACCCTCTAAACTCTACCATGTCTCTCTAACCACTCCTTATTACACGCTCTGTTAAATTACAAAAACTTACACTACCCCTCATTTTTTCATTTCATTTTTCGTTTCATCTTGTGGAAGTGCTATCTGATGATCCGGCCACCTTTAAAAGGGTTCTGGTGAAATAAATTATTATAATGGAAACTTAAAGTGGTCTGTTTTTTTTAATTAAATATATATATATATATATATATATATATATATATATATATATATATATATATATATGTTATAAAGAGGTAATTATACAAATAATTAACTAGTAATTAATGGTGAAATATATTCGCTAACAGACTTAATGAAGCATTAACGTATTAACAATCGATTGAATGACGCGATACTTATATATAAAATTGTTGTCAGATGGCTCTGGTGTTTTTAGAGCAGCGAGTACTTTCGAAAATTCTGTCAACAACATTACACCTGTTGGCAAATTTAGTTATGTCATTATTAATAGATGATAAAATGTTCTGTGTCTTGAGATTTTTTATATGAACAGGATATTTTGTTTGTGATAATTCGTTGCTTGTAGGTAGGTTTGATTTGGTATATATTCTTGGTCTTATCAGCCTTGATTCATAATTTATTAGAACTTTTTTATGTTCCTAATATCTTTAAAGATTTTCGACTGGAAATGGTTTGGCGATTTCTTACTCTTGATTTTTCAAATTAGGCTGAGCATATCATGTGCAGTTCTTTATACTAGTGATATGTCAATTATTATTATCCCTGTTGCAGTGTATGTATTACGGGTGAAGGATATATATATATATATATATATATATATATATATATATATATGGATGTGTATGTATATGCATTTTTACAAAGTTGAATGCTACGCGGTAATCGGGTTAAACGGGCGTCCTTTAAATTAATATGGAATACGTCTAAACTAAACTAAAAGAACCTAATAGATATAAACTCGGCGGTTAACCCCGATCTAATTTTACCTTAGCTTAAATTACATTCATATCCTGCTAAATCTTAATAAATACATCTAGGACATAAAAGTTCAGGACTGTAGGCATTTAATCGATATAAATATGTTTCTCTGAATTTAATTAATAATCTTTCAAATCTCTTAGGTTTTTAACTTAATTTTCTTGTTTGATTAAACAAAAAGCTTATACAGTGTAACCCGGATATAAGAGAGTTGTCGGGACCGGAAAAGTCTCTTATATCCGGGTTTCTCTTATATCCGGGTTTGGGTTTTATATATAACACAGGCTCTAATTTGGGACCAGAGAAAATCTCTCTTATATCCAGGTTTCTCTTATATACGGGTCTCTTATATCCGGGTTTGTATATGAAACTTTGATTAAATAATACAGTTAACCTGGATATAGTTGTCGGGACCGGAAAGAAGTCTCTTATATCCGGGTTTTAACCGGGTTTGGTCTGTTTTATATAATTAACACAGGCTCTAATTTGGAACCAGAGAAAATCTCTTATATCCAGGTTTCTCTTATATCCGGGTCTCTTATATCCGGGTTACACTGTATATAAACTTTGATTAAATAATACAGGTAAACCGGATATAAGAAGTTATCCGGAGAAAAAGTCTCTTATATCCGGGTTTCTCTTATATCCGGGTTTGGTCTGTTTTTATAAACATTAACACAGGCTTAATTTGGGACCAGAGAAAATCTCTTTATATCCAGGTTTCTCTTATATCCGGGTCTCTTATATCCGGGATATATGAAACTTTGATTAAATAATACAGTGTAACCCGGAGAAGAAGGTCTCTTATATCCGGGTTTCTCTTATATCCGGGTTGGGTCTATTTTATATACATTAACACAGGCTCTAATTTGGGACCAGAGAAAATCTCTCTTATATCCAGGTTTCTCTTATATCCGGGTCTCTTATATCCGGGTTACACTGTATATGAAACTTTGATTAAATAATACAATTCGGATATAAGAGATCGGACCGGAGAAGAAGTCTCTTATATCCGGGTTTTCTCTTATATCCGGGTTGGGTCTATTTTATATACATTAACACAGGCTCTAATTTGGGACCAGAGAATCTCTCTTATATCCAGGTTTCTCTTATATCCGGGTCTCTTATATCCGGGTTACACTGTATATGAAACTTTGATTAAATAATACAGTGTAACCCGGATATAAGAGAGTTGTCGGGACCGGAGAAGTCTCTTATATCCGGGTTTCTCTTATATCCGGGTTGGGTCTATTTTATATACATTAACACAGGCTCTAATTTGGGACCAGAGAAACTCTCTCTTATATCCGGGTTTCTCTTATATCCGGGTCTCTTATATCCGGGTTACACTGTATATGAAACTTTGATTAAATAATACAGTGTAACCCGGATATAAGAGAGTTGTCGGGACCGGAGAAGAAGTCTCTTATATCCGGGTTTCTCTTATATCCGGGTTGGGGGCTCTAATTTGGGACCAGAAAATCTCTTATATCCGGGTTTGGTCTATCCGGGTTATTTTTTATATACATTTAACACAGGCTCGGATAATTTGGGACCAGAGAAAATCTATTTTATATACATTCTTATATCCGGGTTTCTCTTATATCCGGGTCTCTTATATCCGGGTTACACTGATGGAACTTTGATTAAATAATACAGTGTAACCCGGATATAAGAGAGTTGTCGGGACCGGAGAAGAAGTCTCTTATATCCGGGTTTCTCTTATATCCGGGTTGGGTCTATTTT